GGGAGGAGCCACTGGCCTTGGAGTCAGGCTGTGAGTCGGGGTGCAACCTCTGCTCCCAGCCTTGCCTTTCTCCAGGAGCCCCAGCTGAAGCAGGGTGTAGGCCAGTTGGCTGAAGATGCCACCTCCCCTTGGAGGGAAAGTGAACCCAGCTACCCCAGGGGTCCAGATTTTGCCAGGATGAAGGCTGCAGTTAAGGAGAGGAGGGTTGGGCTGAGTGATTCTAGGAAACTCCAACCATGGGAAGCCGGTGAGCTGGCCCTGGAGAGCACCACAGGAGAGGGTGGGCAGCAGAGGGCTTAGGAGTAGGGTTTCCTTCTGCCTTTGTTCCTGAGCGTCTGTCTTCAGGAGAGATCAGGTTAGGGGTGCTTTTTGCTGGCTAGCTGCCTGGCAGTGTTGGAACTAAATTCAAGACGAGGTTGTATCCCTGTGGCCCGGAGAAGAACGTATACCCAGCAGGTCCTGCAGCCCCAGCACCCAGGAGCCTCCAGCCTCAGCTGCACACAGGCAGCTCTTCAGCTATGGGAGCAAAACCAGCCTGGCGTGTGGCTGCCTGCCGCCCTGCCCAGCCCAGCCTCCACGGACACCAGCCCACCAACCAGCCCTGCAGAGAAACATGGCCCATGGCCTGGCCTGGAGCATGCGGAGGTGTGTGCTCCTGTCCCGCAAACCTCCAGGCCCCTTCCAGGCCTTCCAGAGTGCATTTAGCCCCCTCCTTCCTAAGGCTACTCTTCCGGCTATGGTTCCTGACCCAGCCTGAGTGTGCTCTCCTGGCGGAGGCCCTCTGCTTGGCTTGCAGGTGAGCGAAGAGAGGCAGCCCGCTGCCGGCCCTGAACCCTGCGCCTCTTCCTTTTTGGCCTTTGTCTGTAGGCTGTTCTGGGCTGCAGCTTGGAGCTGACAGTGGCTCTCAGCTGGAAAGAGGCACAAGCAATAGGTGTGTGGCTTGGCTCAGCTTGAGACCCTAGGTCAGTGCAGGGCTGCGGGGCCCAGTTTCTCAGGGTCTTGATTTCACTCTCTGGCATTGTTGGGCTTTGCTACCCAGCGAGTGTAGCTGTAGATACTGCGAGCAAAAGCCACCCTCACACTGTACCACTTTCATTATCTCCCCATGCCTGTGTCCCCAGGTCCACCTAGAGAAGCGAGGGGAGGGCACAACAGTACATGGAAGAAGGACGGAGGCTGTCACCTGCTTCGGGCTTCGTTTCAAGGAAATGTGGGAGGCTGGATTGGCGGCGGCCTTGGGCACTCGGTGTCCCTGGGAGCTCCTTGGCCAAGCCAGTCTGAGCTCTCAGTCCATGCGCAGCAAGAGCGAGCGCTGGAGCTGTGTAGTCCTCAGGGTGGATGCCAGTGGTCCCCTTTGTGCCCTCCAAAGCCCCTTTGTGCAGCCCGTCTCAAGAACATGGAGGACAGTTCTGTGCAAGCGGGTGCTTCTCAAGTGCACTACAGGACCAGACAAGGGTGGAAGTGAAACCAGGAACCCAGCCCAGGAACTCCAGGAGAGAAGCCAGTTTCCGGTGGTGGCTGGCTCGGTGGAGCCCCAAGCCCTAGCTACAATGGGCAAGAAGTTTAGCTCAGGGTTTGCCGGCACCGGGCTTCGGGCCAAGCACCAGCGAGAGACCCTGGCTCCACCGTCAGAGGATGAGAGCACCCTGCTGCCTGCCCTGCAGCCCAGAAAGCCAGGTGGGTTTTGTCCCAGATGGGGCAAGAAGCCAGCGAGGGCCTCAGTGCAGTGCTACCTGGACTGTCCCTGTCTCTGTCCCTGTCTCTATCTCTGCTGGGACACTCAGGATTCCCCCAGGAGTGGACAATGTAAGTTTCTGCAGCTTTTCTCTAGTGCTGCCCAGCCTCTTCAAGAGCCCTCTAGAGAGTGTCCATCCTTGAGGGTCCCTCTTCCTCCTCTGAGGGTCCCCCTTAGGCAACCTGTGCACCTATTTTTCTCCTCATTCTTCCTTCCTTCCCCTTTCCCCTCCACCATCCACTCCTCTTTGGGGACAACCTAGAAGCTTCCCTTCTTCTGACTCAGCTTGACAGTGGACCTGACACACTGGACACCCAGGGAGAGTAAGCCACACGCAGGCAGGCCAGACTGCCTACAGACAGCTGCTTGTTAGAGTACAGGTTGCAGCCTGGGGTGGTGTCTGGGTCTGGGTACCTGAGGCCCAGGCTGTGCGAGGGTCCCAAAAATCAGAGAAACAGAGAAACTAGTCAACTCACAGCATAACTGGTTTTCACAGGTGCAATGCAGGGAGCTGAAGGCTCTGCGTTCTCCCTTCACCTCTGCACACTTGGGGGGGGGACAGAAGAAGACTGGGCTGTGGAGATGAGGGTCCCCAGCTTTGCAGCCAGTGCTCCCCCCTCCCACAGCCCTAAGCAAGTGTGTACCAGATGTTCCAGCAGCAGCCCCATTCTCCTAAGGTCAAGTGGACATTGGGTGTTTGTCAGGTACAGGAAGGACCTCAACCAAGTGTGTATCTAGCCAAAAAAAGAAAAATGAAGACCCCTGCAGTGGGTGACCTGGGCTTGTGTGAGGAACAGTTCCCTACACCCCGTCCAGACTCGAAGAGAGGAGACCCCTGTCTAGCTCCAGTGCCTGCCACACACAGGCCACAGGCCTGAAGCCCTACTCCCACAAACCCCAGCTTATTTCTCCCAGAGCAGCTCCTTGGAAACTGAAGCTCCCCACCCACTCCTAGCAGCATCTGGAGCCTGTGGTGTGGATGGGGCCTGCACTGTGTGAACTCAGGACACTGAGCCAGGCTGAGGGCCCCTGCAAGCCTAGAGATGGCCCTGTAGGGCTCGCTGTGTGGTGCTGGCCCTTCAGGCCCTTGGCTCTGGGCCCAGTAGCTCCCTGCTAGCCATCCAGCCTGGAACTCTGCTGAGTGGGTCTGGGGGGCGGGCATCCCCAGATGCAGTGGGTCCCTCTGCAACCCAGTGTCTGCACCCAACATGCCCACTCACGTGGCACCAGCGCCCCTGGCTCAGAGTTGCGGTCTTGGAGGGTGCACAGAGTTCACACATTTCTATTAATATGGGGTTAAAGGTGGCCAGTCAAGCCTGGGTAGGGAGGGTGTTTTGAGCGAGAGGTGAGCAAAACCGAAGGAGCCATGACGCAGGAGGAGAGAGAGCTGGCCCTTTGACAGCAGCTTCGGGCCTGGTGTTTGCAAGGGTTTAAAGAAAAGGGGGTCAAATAGGGGCCCCATCCTGTAATGGATTCCAGCGCTTCCTTCTAATGCAGCCTTTTCTGCTAAGAAACTAGTTCACAGGGTTTTCAGCTATGAAAACGAGACATGCGCCTGATAGCTCTTCCATCGGGGACGGTAGTGGGTGGGAATATGAGACTGGGCCCTATTGCGGGGGTCAACTCCCTTCCGAGGTGGTTTTTGTTTTCCGTCCCAGTGGTTTTGCATTTTTGTTGTTGTTGTTGAAATCTCAGCTTTTCTCTCCTTTCCAAAATTGATTTAGTTATCCCGCCCTCGTTTCCCTTCATTTCTCCTTTTGCAAAGGGCTCCCCGTGCTGCATCCCGGCGCTGCTCCGGAACCGCGCCTGCTTCCCGAAGTCCCGCGTCCGGACAGCGTCCTGCCCGTGCACGCGCCTCCCTGCACACGCACAAGCGCGCACACCTAGCACGAGCGCCTGCGGGCGGAGCGTCCTGAGCATCCGCTCTTCGTGCAAGACAGGACGCCGCCGGGTTACCAAAGTCAAATGTAAGTGACAATTTGCCTCAGCGCCAGCAAGGAAAGCGGACTACAAAAGTCCCTTTGTATCTCGGTAGCTCATTTAATATTATTTATGCATTTGTGCAAGGAATTGTGGGATTTCTCCCCACGGTAAACAATATGGAAATGTTAAAAAATAGTCTTGCAGCCAGCGTCCACATAGGCGCACCAGGGTGACCTGGCAGGGCTGTCGCGTGATTCTTCGGATCTCTGAACCCAGAGATATGCGGGGAACTCAAGCAGGCGCAGAGGACTAGGTCCGATGCTAACCCGGCTGAGAGCTCAGCGCGAAGCCGCCGAACGCGGCCGCTTTAAGGGGGGGCGGGGCGGGGGCGGCGGGGGAGGGGCGGCGAGCGGCTCCTGTCAGCGAGCGGCCGCCAGCGCGTCACGTGGGCGCGCGGCGCGGCTGCCATTGGCCCGAGGCACGTGTCCAGGAGACCGGGCCGCGACGTCACTCGAGGTGGCTCTGTTAAAAATAAGAACAAAAATCCAGAGTGAAAGTGTCTCAGGTTGCGCTAAGTGGCCTGGAAATTGCCCGACCCTCGCGGAGGCCGAGGCGGCGAGCGGGCGCGGACGGCTAGGGGGCGCGGGAGGCCCAGCGCGCCCAGCCCGGCCGAGCGTGTGGTCCGCGAGCGAGGAACTCCCCGCC